TCCGTACGAGGTTAAAAAAAAGAAATAGAATGATATCACAATCGTTCCTTGAATCACGGTCTCCTCCAAGTTCAAACACATTTGGTCTTAACTAAGAAATTGAGTTTTCACTCAGAAATCACTTACAACGTTACCTAAGTCCCAAATTGATTTTAGTAACAACAGTTGAAAATAAAGAAACTACTAAAAACTATAGTGTGACGTAGTTCTAAGTGCTGGTAACTTTTGAAAATAATTGGTTTGAAAAGGTTCTAACTGCAATATTACATGGTATTCGATTTATAGTAATTTTAAAGAGGGGTAAGCATGAAATGATATCATTTATAGATTAGTAAAGATCTGTTCTATTTGTATAACATATTTGAATTGATTATTTCAGGAGCGATATATGTGAAATTTTCACAATTTTTAGAAAAACTGCGAAAAATATATTATACTAAAATTCTATGAGATAAAAAATATATATAGTGTAAACAATCAATTTTTTTATTATTTATGTTGGTTTAAGAAATGTATAAATCAAAAGATGATTAGAAATGTTTTTTTTTGTAACATTTTACTCTGGTGTTGTTTCTGTAAAAAAATTATGTTTTTATCTTTTTTATTTAATTATAACTACATGGGCAATAATTTAAAAGTAGATGATTACTTCTGAAATATATAACTTCTATTTCATTTAAGTTAAAAATGATAAAATAATTTAATAAATCAACATTGTTAAAAAAAACAAAAGACAGAGTACAAAATATTTTTATTTCATTCGGATTTTCGATTCTTCATGCCCTCCATGAAACGTAAAACCTCAAACTTTTTAGTGCTGCTATTTGCACTAAGAATCTTGTCTCACTACAAAAGTGCATTCTGGAATGACAAATTTCTTACTTCAAAATTTTAATATTAAAAATTAATGAATTATCAATAAGTGGCACAATAAGTCATTGACGAATGCAAAAAAAAAGTTCACAGCTTCAAGGTATTGTACAAGAAAAGTTGATAGAGTAAGTAACAAAATATTCATACCACAATAAATTGTAATATTGAAGCTCTGTTTCTCAAAATTTCTGTTAAAAAAATTTTAAAATGTTAAAAAAGCAGTTAAAAAATTTTTCAAAGCAAAACCACGATTAGAAATTTGTCCGCAAAAATTAATAACCGCCTACGTTATGCGAATCTTTGTTCACCAAGTACTTCGAAATCTCTATAAAAATGATCTTGTACATATCTTTTTTGATGAAATCAATAGATATATAGATATTTAAGAGATTATATTTATCCGAGTTTGAAATGAATAATTATTTTTTCAACAAAATCATGTAATAATCATTATATTTATATATTTATCTATTTAGCTACTAAAGTAGTATTTTTCTAGGGCACTCAATGTTCATATATATATTCTTCAAGGAATATATATAATATGAATTTGAATACTTGAATATAATAATATAATTGTTTTTTAATTTAAAAATCATGCCCAATTTATAAATAAAAATTGAAATAGATTGTTGATGTCTATTGATTTGATTAAAAATAATGTTCACTCACTGAGTTATACGGTTTAACATAAATAATAATGATATATTAGTGATAAAAAAAAAATTTGATCAGAAAATAAAAATCACCTTCTACACACAAATTAAATTGAATATTAATATAGCCCAGAAACCTTGTCTTGAAAAGGGAGCTCTACTCGTAAGTTGCATCGAATGAGGGTAGAAGGTTTATTTTTTTTTCTGGTAAGGGATGTTATTAAGATGCAAAAGTTTTCAACCTCGGCACCATCACTTCCCCCTCCCCGGATCACTTTTGAAAATCCCAAAAACTGCTATATTTTCATACTTTTTCGGTTTTTCATTTTGACCATAAAGGAGCACGTTTTCGACATAAAATATTCTAAACATTTTTAAACTAGACTAAATATACCACAATTGAATGTCAAAACAGGTTTGATAAGTTTAATAATTTTTGAGATATAGGTTTTCTAAATTTTGAAAATTTCAAACTTGAAAATTGTATGCTATTTTTCATATTTGATCATATGCAATTATGTCTATATTGTCAATAATCTATCTTATATGATTCAGTGAAGTAAATTTTTATTCATTTTAACATTTTGAAGAAGGGGTGAAGGAGGGAGTTTTCCAGAACTGTCACTCTATCTAAAACTTGTGAAGTGAGGAAATGTATTTCCTCCACAATATTTATTGAGTCATTCATAGATAATAATAAAACAACTTATAGTACAGTAACACCATCGTTACCTTCTACTACTGAATCGTTCGGGAAGAGTGGAGAAAACAACGTTCTCATTGAATTTGGAAAGAATTTCCCCTCAAGTTTTTTTTTTTTTTTTTTTTTTTTTTTTTGTATTTGAAATAGTATCTGTATCTTTATTTTCTATAACATCAGCTTTTTTGAGAACTAGAGATGTGAGGAACTGTAACTCCTCTCCACAAAATCTTTTTCTTTTTACATCACTCATCTATATAATAAGAATATTAAACAAAAATATGACAATAGTTTATTATGTATTTGAACAGTCTAGTTATCTCCTTTACTTACTCGATGTTTAATCAATATTTTAACATGTGTTTGCACCAATGTTTAAGAAAATAAGAAGCAGCTTATGTATCATTATCTGGCTAATATCAAACTAATTCTATAAAGTGGAGTGGAGAAAATAACGTTCTCAATAAAAATTTTCTTTTTTATCTTTTAAGCTACCTTCTAAATACTCAGAAAATAGTTTGAACCAAGAAGTTTCATTTCACTATATTTTATCTAAGTAGAAGTATAATAACAACAAAAATAATAATTTTAGAAGTTTAATAATAGCAAAAATAATAATATTTTTAATAATGATTCAGTTTATCATACCAGAATGTCAACTGCTTGCTGGAAACAAATACCTACTTAGACACAACAACATGGCTAAGATTGTGCATCAGGAATTAGAAAAGAAATGTGGAATTTTAGATGACACTTATCCATACTAGTAGTACAGACCAAAATCGGTCATTGATAAACAGCATGTCAAGCTGTACTGGGACCAAACCATTATAACAGACCACACTATTGCACATAACAGGCCTGATATTTTGTTTGTTTTGACGGATGAGAGCCATGCAAAGATTGTTGAAATAGGGATGCCATCGGGTGATAACTTTCACAAGGTGGTAGCAGAAAAAAATTGCAAATATGAAGACCTTGGTGAGGAGCTAAAACAATTCTATCAACTTGAAAATTGAGGATTTTGCCGCTAGTCATCTCTGCAAATGGTTTGATTCTGGACATAACAGTAAACTCCAAGAAGGAATTGGGCCTTTCGATGAATTGTTTGGAGCTAATGCAGAAAGCGGTGTTACTCAGAACAGTGAGTATTATTCGAAAATTTATGAATGTAACAGATTGATTTATTTAGCCTGCCCTTGACTTAAGTCCGGGTAATGTGCTGTAACCAGCAAATGCTGTGATATAAGGGATTTCCCAAAATGATAACAACACGATAATTGCATTTTCTATCAGTTGAATATAAGTTGTAGTGACTGGGGAGAATAAAGGGGAATTTTGGGAATGAAGGGTCCTCTATCTTCCCTATGTAGAAGGGAAGTTGAAGGGGTGGACTCTGACCACCAGCCTTTTAGGGACGATAGAGGAATAGTGGAGTATAAAGGACGACTATGCATACCATCAAAGGAATTTGAATGTTTCCACTGCCTCCAGCTATTGCCTTCCTAGCCTGATTATTAGATCTCCAGGGACTTCAGTTTTTCCTATTCTCACCACCTTTGACTTTTCAGGGCTTATTTTCATATTAATATGGACGAGTTCTTCCTGTAGGATCCTAAGGTTGAACTGAAGGTCTCTTTCATTCCTTCCAAATATCACTATATCATCTGCAAAGCTGAATACACTTAAATGGACAGCTTGTATGTTTTTATATCCTATGTGGAAATCTCCAATCTTGTTCATGGCATTCTTCAAGGCAGTATCTAACTCCATAATGAACAGGAGTGGATTAAGGCTGCATCCTTGCCTAATACTGATGGAAGATCTAAATTCTTTGGAGCTGTTATACAAAGTTTCTGCATTTAGCAAAGAGGCTTAATATTGCTTTCCGAAGTCCAAATGTAACGCCTTTTTCTCTTAATACCTTTTCAACATCCTGGATATTAACCCTATCAAATGCTTTGATCAGATCGACAAAGCAAACCAATCTTCCATGCCAGATTGAATTACAGCATTTTCATTCCTTGGCTTCCTAGTTTCTCAATAATCCCCGGGGTTTTAACACTTTAAAATACTCATTCAAGTGTCCTGTACAACACACTAAAAAAAAGTGCAACAGGAGGGGGGTTAAAGAACACTTTTACACTTTTCATAAATATCTGGGAGTAAACATTAAATTTAGAGAAAACTATCCCAACAAAAATTTAAATTGAGTAAATTCTTTTCATAAAAAATCTGATTCATATTTTATTCATAAATTTTTATATATATAGTTTTTGTTAAAAGCCCCCTGGAGCCAAGATTTGACTCCTAAACTTCAGTTTATCATAGGCCATGCATGTTTAACACATGTTTTAGCCCACTTGGCTTCCTCTTTTTTAATTGGTTATAGCTTTAGAGATAGATTCTAGGGGAATTGTTAGAAAATTAATAAATCTGTATTCAGTTAAAAATTGTATACCTAGGGAGAAATCTCAAGTCAGAAAGGTATCATTTTCCCATGGAGCAGGGTGGCGCAGCAGTCTAGTCGTTGTGTAAAACAGAGTGTTGCCTTGGCAACCTGATGATAAACAGAAGATAAAGAGTTCAAATCCTGGTGCAGGTGGGACTTTTAACTCAGCATAATTCCATGCCGTTTCCCCCAGCACAGGAAAAACCCCGTTGAAATGCTAATTTTCTTTACAATGACATCACATCTGCTTATTTTCAAAATTATAACAGGTGTGGATGAAAATATAAAGAGAATAGGAAAATTATTATTTTATTATTACCAAATTCTTCAAAATCATGCAGATTTTTTCGGATTGGAGAACATGGTATACTGACAGGATCAGATGCAACCCTTTCATTTCTCACAGTAACCTGATGAAATAAAGAAAACAAAAATTAGATCTATTTAATAAACTAACAAAGTGTGATTTTTAAAAAAAACTGAGTTTCGTAAATAGGCAAATAAAGAAATTAACTCAGCTGTCTGAAATTTTAAACATTTGTCTGCATGCGAGCTTCCACAACTATCTATCCACTAGAATGATCACTAATTTTAATTTAATCTTTTTAACTTCCTTAATCAGTTAGTAAGTGAAAATATTACAAATTTGTAGAAATGGATTATAAACATTATTTGTAGTTTGTATAACTTTTTACATATCTCATTTATAATATTGTGTATTGTAATAATAGTTAAGATTCATGTGTCATCAATCGCTATAGTTTATTATTTACCATTATCGGTCGTATAATATTATATCTCTGATTGTATTTTAAAATTTTCAACCCTGATGATGATCCACATGTTTGGGTTGAAACATCGGCACAAATAAAAAATTTTTACAATGATATGCGTTCTGAATATTAATCACCCATGATATGTAGAACAGTCCACTAGCTTCATGCAATAAAATTTTATCTTATTTGTATAACTTATGTTTCCTACCAATGTTTTATAATAACCATATACCTACTTTTATTATTAAAAACAGTTCAAGTGATTTTTATTAATCAAGTTTCTGAAAACAGACAAGTGTATAGAGGATATTTTAGTCACAAACATAAAACATACATTTCGTGTAATTTAAAAACAAAAATATTAACACCACCATGACCATATTTTTTTAAAATTTTCATTTCGTTTACACATGAACATAACAAAATTACTTAAGCTGTAAGCTCAAGCAAAGATGTTTAATTGCAATAACTTTTTGAATCTGAATTATAATAAGAAAAGTCAAAAAGGTAAAAATTATATAAAATAATATTATAAATTTTGCAGCAGTTTTGATACAAAAGAGGAGTTTATTGAGGTTTTACTTCATTGTACATTTACTCTGTTGAACTTATTATCTCTAATTTATTACCTGATCATCATAATTTATAGAACTAAGTGAAGGCAGAGTATATGAGCAAATTTCAGATGATACATAATCTTTCGGGCATTGAAGAGAATGCAATTCATTTGAAAGCCTCATGGTCCATGATACAGCACCTAAGTAAAATAAAAATGATAAATAAAACAATGGCCAATCAAGTAGAAAGAAAAGACAAACTTTTACTCACCAGTTGCTCTTTTTATGAGTATTTCAGCCCAGGTTTTACACCAACACGCACAAACTTGTCTCTCAGGCCTATGGAATCCTGATGGAAAAAAATAATTTTATTTCCTAATATGAGCTTAAATTGATAATCTGAGAGAAAAGGAATGCCCAGAGGAGATTGAAATGGTGCAAGTTGTGCCATAAAAGTTTTTTATGGAGTATATTTTAACTGGCTTATGAATTTTCAAGAGGGGGCCCAAAGGTGCTCATTTCCTCAACCCTCTCTCCAAGGACAATGGTCCATGAACCTCCTCTTCCCATCAAAGATATTTTATTGTGTTTCTCTTCTCAAAAACAGCGCAAGCTAAGTCATAATTTAAAAATTCATTGATCATATTCATTACACTTCTTTTTCTTCCTCACCTCTTAGGCTATACAGGGTGTTTTTCAGGCAAGAGGGTGAGGGCTGGGGATTAATACCAGAGTTCAAAACTCTTCCTAGCACCAAGACACCAACTCGTAATTATTTTTTCCTTTAAGCTTCAGTTTTCAGATTGACAGGCAACACACGGTGCAATGAACACACATTAGCTCGCTCGACTACCCCATCATATTCAATCATACTTGCTGCAGCTGTATCATGTTTTCCTCTTGTCCATTGGTTTGAAAATATTCCTTCTGAAAATTCATAACAGATAAGAGATCGACCGATATCGATATTAATACTGGCATAGGGTGGGTAAAAATATGCTGTCTGTTATCGACCCTCTTGGGAAACCAGGTGACACCCCTTTGCAATTAATGCTAGCTCCATTCCGATTAATTTAGGGAGATAAGGTTGTACCTGCAGTCTTGTTAGACCGCCATACTTGTGGAAATAAAATGTCTGAAATAAAAGAAATGAATAAAATTAAATCGACAGTATCCGAGGAGGACTTGTCTTCATCGGAACATATGAACATATCAGAGGTTATCTCTGATACACTAGACGAATCTCTAGTAGGCAAATTATTAAAAACCCTGACAGAGGATGTAGGCACACTCCATGTCCAAACAGAGTGGAAGGATGAGGAGGTTATGGAGGTGGCCAGTGCTATGGGCACAGGTCCCAACAGAACCCATGGACATGGTAGAGACTGACAAACCTGATCTAGGTATTAAAAAAAGTAGCCCCTCACAATCTAGACTCGACCAGACGGTAGGCGGGAACCAAAAATCCAAGGATTGGAGGCCTGCCAGGTTGAGGGCGAGCAAGAAGGTGAAGAGGCGTAAAATGAGAAAGGCGAAAGCCCTTCAACTGTTAAATACACCCGAAGAGAAGAGGGCACCTGTAGAATACTCAGCTGAGGAAGCAAGGGCCTCCAAAGGCCTGGCTGACAAGGCAGAGTTTCCCAAGAGGGAGGCCACAGATGAAGGGCAGAAAGAAAATATACTGGAGCCTACTCAAGGGCAGGTAGAGGAGGATGCAAGGGACCCACTAGGCCCGGAAACGAAGCTGCCATGCCGGAGGGGAAAGCTCCAATACCACAGGCAAACAATAAAGACTGCAAGACAATATAGGGCAGCAACAAAGACTGCGAGGCCTTAAACGTGGAGACCAAAATCAAGACTAATTGTGGAAAAGCGTACCACAACATCCTTAGGAACCTCAGCATCGAATGCTAAGAAAAAAAACGAAAGGAAGCAGAAAGGCCAAAAAACTACGCAACTATTAATTAATTGGCAGATTAACTATTCGCAGATCCAACTTAGCTACGACCAGTGCTAAGTACTGAAGGAAGCCATTGCCAACAAGAAAGACTGACGAACTACAAATTGGTAGAGATATTCACCCTAATTTTGACAGAGCACTCTACAAACTCAGTGGATGTCTAGTGTCTTGTATGGACGACCACACTGTGGGATGGTTTAAAAATATTACACCAAATATCACGATCGAGGAGGATCTAACCGTACGAGTTTGGGAAGCTAGCGGGTTAACAAAAATCACCAGGATCGGAGCCTTTTTTCCTGGGAAGGCTCTTCCTGCTGAATACTATCTCAACTGGCTCCAGATACAATCAGTCAATAACTGGAATAAGTAACTGGACCGTTTTAAACTTCAAAAGCTTTGGAAAGCGGATCCTTCGGAGTGTTCACCATACCAGAGACCAGCCTCCAGAGCCTCACAACACACGGAATGCAGGCTTGCTTTGGCATTTACTTCATTACATTTAGGCATCTGGCGACGAGCACCAAGCCTGCTCCAGGGGAACTACAAGATGAAACACCAAGAGCTGGGACTTCAAAAGAGAGGGAAACCAAAAGACAAAATGAAAACTGAGTCTGATGGTGGAATCCTACCGTCTGGAAATCCACCTCCCCAGAAGTAACATGTAAAAATTATGAAACTGCTGCAGATCAATATCCACCATTGCATTGCAATAGTGCATAAAAGGTAAGGATATGGATATTATTCTAATACTTGAACATATCTATATATATATATATATATATAGATCTAGTCCTAGATGATTGATCGATAATTTTATTCAGTAATTATGAGAATTTTCTATGCAGCGTAACGGTATTGGCCAAAATTTCTATGCAGCCAACGGTATTGGCCAAAATTTCTATATTGGCCGATTTCTAAATTTAATGGAGCAGCTTTCACTATGAAACATTCTTCTGTGCACTCCTGGGAGACAAAATTTAATGAGGTTAAATTTTCAGAATGAATCAAATTTTTGTGGGGTTTCAATTTAGGGAAGATTTCAAAATAAAATTACAATTTTTATAATTCTAGTTTCATTTGCACCATTTTTAAGAATATCGTGGCAATAAAATTTTTTGAGAGAGGGATTAACACCATTGCCCTTGGGTGATGGATACTCTAGTTTAAGATAATAAATATTATTATAGTTCATTCTTAAAAGACAATAAAACGATAATCAATTAAATTATAAAACTAATATAATGGTAATTTTATTATGGATTTTTACCAGTAACTTTAGGAAGTTCAATATAGCTTGGAGGAACTGAAGGCTTTTCACTGTCAGGTGAGGTAGGTGCACTTGAAGTGTTTGGAATGATCTGAAATTCATGGACGAAGTAAATAAAATTAAAATAAACACACCATATTCTAATACAAAATATAATTTAAACTATTAAGGTAACTTACTTCAGAAGGTTGTGAATCTTCCTTTTTAATTGGAATCGGTGGAGCTGTAAAAAAAATTTAGGAAATGATCAGTTCCATATATTCAACTAAATACAAGCTAAGGGGACAGGGAGTGGCCGAATGGGCTAACGTGTGTGCTCAGCATCGCGAGTTGCCGGCAACCAGATAAACAAAGTAATGAGAGATTAAAAAAAAAAGTATGAATTCGCGTCTGGGTGCCAGAGAATTTTAAATTCCTCATCATCACACCGCAGGCCGGGAAAACCCCTTATAGCCTAAAAGGTGAGGTAGGGAAGAACCATACAAACTAACAAAAATTTACTTTATAGATAGTTTGAATGTTTCATTGCTAAAAATGATAATTATACTGTAATTAAAGAGTTGATAAACATGTGGGCAGGGTGGCCGAATGGGCTAACGCCTGTGCACAGCACCACCGTTGCCTGATTATAAGATAAAGTGATAAAAAACTAGTCACGAGTTCGCATCCCGGCGTCGGAGGAGTCTTTTAAATCCCCGCCCACAAAAATCCCCATCTTCTGATTAGTTAGATACACAACTGGGAAAATGGTCTTTAAAAGAATATTTTAAAACAAGATTTCCTATAACGGTGGAAATCCTCAAAAACATAATGGGCAATAACAGGCTGTCCAGCGATTCTCCTTCGAAAAATTTCCATACTATTTCCGAATTTTCCGTTTTTTCCCAGATTTTTACCGGTTTTATTGAGATTTTTCTGGGGTTATCTATCTATGGGGTTTCACATAAAAAATAATGAGTACAACTGCCTGTAGTGTAATGTAAGCTCTTGTTGCAACCTATACCAGGGTGGCTACCAAATTGCCAGAGTATAATTCCCTGACTTTTCCCTGTTTAATGAAAGTTTTCCCTGACCAATATGTCAACATACACAAATGTTAAACATATAGTGCTTATAACTAATTAACTTATAACTATAACTATATATATAATTTATAACTATTTAATTTATCATACATGATTGAAAATTGAAAGATTAGAGTAAAAAAAAAGTCTGTTCAGCCTTTTAAAAAACAAATATAAATGTTAAAGAGGAAGCATTTTTTAAACATGATTAGGATTTTTTTTTATTTTTGAAAACTGACCTTAAGTAATTTATTTTTATCGCCTATTTACTAATACTTTAAGCACTTTATTTTCATAAAGTAAAAGTTCATAATGTAAAAGTTGATACTTAACGCTTTTATCTATTATGAAATAAACTGAGCTACGGGCTATTCTTATTTTAATGTAAGGTAATTTAGTTTTTTTTTATTGTCACAAACAGAACAATAATTATCCATACGATACTAACTGTGAGGCGAGATGGAGTTCAATCAATGAATGATTACAGAAGGAAACAGTAGGGACACAATTATTGACTTTGGTAGATTGTTTGACTAGTAAAGAAATAAAAATACTAAAAGTCACCACTCCTAGGTAAGCCAGGTGGGGGGGTGGAGGAGGGGAGGTCCCTAGAAGATCACTTTTTTCGGGGTTTCACTTATATCAGGAAAACTATCCTTCGCATCAACAAAGACTTTCTATACAAAATTAAAGCTGATAAAATTTGCAATATGATTGATTCTATACATTTTTTTCGGTATCTCGCTTAGCGAGATATCTATCCTCAAACTATGACGAATTTTGAAGAAAAATAGTCTCCGCCACTTCTTTCTTACCCCATTTTCGTGCATTCATTGACTGGATCTGAGGGGACTAAAACTGTGTAAAACACACGTTTCCCGGCAACCTTATAAACTCAAGTTCACATGATAAAATAATTATGAGTTCGCGTTCTGGTGCCAGGGGAGTTTTAAACATCCCTGCCTTCCACCAAGGAAAAGCTTCAAATGGTCTCAATGTCAAAGGGGTAAACCCAAATAAAAAAACTGAGACGTTTCAGGTTTGTACATGCTCTTATAGTAGTTCGGGAGCCCGTAGGTAAAAAAGGTGTCATATTTCATACTAAGCTTTGTCCTTATAAATTGATCATATCAACAGGCCTGATGAGAAAAAGTTTTTCTGTATAGTTTAGAAGTTTAATCATTAAATTATAATTGCTCTAGCCTTTGAATGGTTGAAGATAAGATCGTCAAATAATATATATTCTTAAAGAAAATTTAATATTAAAGAACTTTCTTACTCATGACTTTTTGTATAATGAAAAGATAAAGAGTTAGCGAGTCAAATAATTATAAAAATGCGATGCAAAAATTATTTTTTTTCGAAATTGGGGAATTACGAGGGCGAATATCATGGAAACTATAGAATATAGCGAATATACTAATATAATCATTTCTACTGCAACTTTTGTCAGCTTTAATTTCTCATGTCACACTATTATAGATATAACGCATAGTTTTACTGATATAAGCGAAAAACCGATAAAAGTAAACTTTTTTAATCATAAATTCAATTTTTCGACTTGAAATCTACGAGTATGAGGTAACTGACTTTTGTTTCAGGTCTTAAGATTGTAAATAATATAAATTGAAAGTGTTGGTAGCTTTATATATCCATAAGCTCTCTCTATAAATACACGTGCAAGCTACGTAAGGTCTCTTCTATCTTCACATGGCCGCCATTTTGTATTCTAGCGGCTTGATAGCTTCTCTAGGAAGAAAACAGGTGCTTGCCAGCCATAAATTGCTACTACCCTTGTCACATACTTTAAATAAAAATATAATTCAAATAATATAAAGGTATCTATCGTTCCCCAATATTAAACATACAGTTAAAAAAGATGAAAGGCATATAGGATGATAGTTAGAGCATTCATCCTAGGACCCTTTCTTGTGAATGGGTATGATGACATTGTATGCCCAATTTAGTTGGGATCCTCTTCTCGTCCCAGGTTTTTTGAGTACTTGTAGAACTTTCACCATCTCGAGGCCACCATATTTCACTAATTCTGCCATTATATTATCGCACCCTGGCATTTTCCCATTCTTCATTCTTGATAGCTCTTTCTCTTTCATCCTCTTCTATCACCTCCTCAAACTCAGTCTCATTCCATGGTTCTTCTGGGTTTACTGGGTACATATCATCTGCACCGAATATTTACGCCAGACTTCCAGAATGGATTTATCCCTCATGATCACCTTCCCATTCTCATTCTTTACATTTCTGATGGGTTTACTTTTGCTACATCTAAGGCTTTAATTTTCCTCCAGAATAGTTTAATATTCTCTGCATGATTTTGGTTTAGTTTCTCTCCGAATTCCTTCCACGATTTTTGCTTTGCTCTTCTTATAGCTTTCTTTGTCCTATTTCGAGCCATTACATATATTCCCCATTTATCTGGTGATTTGTCTTGTCAGTAGTCCTTCCATACAGTTTTCTTTTCCCTGACCTGTGCCCTCAGCTCTTCACTACACCATGAAGTTCGCTTATCCTTTGAGTATATCCTCTTTATTCCACAAACTAGGGAAAATAATTCAATTAAGTAATTCTCCAATGTTATTCAATTTTATCCTTAATCATCATTAGGTGGAAGAAGTTTTGAAACCATAATCTTACCAATGGTTTTTTTATTTAGCATTCTACATCAACAATGAACATTAATGGGCAATAGTCAAATTAAATGTTTTTTGTCACCAATTAGTAATAAAGAGGTCTGGTCTTGATTAAAGCTGTAATTTCTGTTCAATGAACTGCCTAATCTTGGAATCTCCAACCTTTCACTACTTGATGGCACATTTTATAGGTTTATTAATAGTTGAGAGGCGGGCACCGATTTGTTTGTTTTTCTCAGATTTTGATCCAACTAAGTATTTGTTAATAATAATAAAAAAGAATAATTTTAACATATAAAAAAGTATTGCTTATATTCTTATATAAAATAAATAACTATTTAATAAAACATGAAGAATGTATACTAAGTATAAAATTTCTTTAAAATATAAATGCTAAGGATCACAGTTGAGCGTTATTGAATAAATTTTTATATGTGAGATTCGTGTTGCCCCTAATATTTTTCACCCAAAAGTGGAATTTTAATTGGGTAATAAATTTCTGTAAAGTTGAAATATTACATACCACATATCAATTTTGTAACTCGTTTACAATTGTCAATACTTTTTGCTACTAGCAATATCTTCAATCACAACTTAATTATATTAGTCATTCAATAACAGTTAAAAATATATATAAAAGTATAGTTACAAGAACACTAACCTGGCCTGACCCTACAGTCTTGATAACAATGGTCGCAGAAACCGTGCTTCAATGCTTTTAATGTGCAACCACTAGTCGTAACAGTTACCAATTTGTTGCCAACAAGCCATGTCATACTTTGGCCGCCATTCAAAATTTTTTCAGCACAACTACTTCTGTAATTCAAAATTTTAATGGTAATAATCAATGAATTCATAGAACGGTGAGCTAAAAATCACTTTTAGCAATATATACATTTTTTATATTTCATTAATAATTAAATATTTTAATATATTTACATTAGTTGTTTTCGATTTGTTATTCATAAATTTAAATTAATTATAATTTTAAGACAAACTATGCTCCTCAGTTTCACCCAAGTTAGATTTGTATTTTACATGCCTATTTTATAATCATGACGAGTACATGACCAAGGGCATCCAACAATATAATATCAAAAATTCATAGACAACAGAAAAATCTGGTGCTTGCATCACACAGCTTTCACTTACCACCCTACTTTGAATATACAGAGTGTCCCGTAAGTAGAGGGAAATATTAATAGGAGTTATAGAAGACCTCAAGAGCTACAAAAAAGTTCATATAAACAATGGCTTGATTTCCAGCAGGAAAGTATGAAATTAAAAATTTGTGTTTTTTTTTTCAGTGTTGCGCTTTTTGTCAAATATAAAGCAATAACTAAAAAAATATATTACTTATTAAGTTAAAAACTATTTCACTGTAAACTAGAGAAAATTTACTTCAAACGAAAATGAAATTTGTCATTGCTAAAACCTTTAAACCTTTAGATGATGATGAATAATAAAAAAATAATGATTTTTGACATTTTTTTACGAATAAAAAGTGTATTTAGGCAATTATGTTTATAATAATACATCCCAGATCATGGAAAACAAGAAATAGAAGATTTTACAACAATTTATTTTAGTCATTTTTATTGAAAACACGGGTACTTTTAGGTGATAGGATATGAAATTACATAATTTTTTTACACAACTTGAGGTGAATCTCAAGTTTTTCCGTAATACACCTCATCTTAATTAATATGGATTTAAGTTTATTAAATTAGAAAGCTTTTCTAAAAGTGGGGTATCTGTAGTATAGTCAGAGGATGATAAAAAAAAATCGCAAATCATTTATGATTTTTTAAAAAAACTGATCTTAGTTTAGTTTAACTGCCCAAAAGTCCTCTTTCTTTAAATAGTTTTAACAATGACAAATTCTACTCATTAAAAGCAATTTTTTTCTAGTTTACAGTGAAACAATTTTTAACTAATTATTTTAAACAGTTTTTGAGTTATCGCTTCCTATTCAACAAAAAACGTAACTTACTTAAAAAACAAAACAACACCAAACGTTTATTTTCTACTTTCCTACTGGAAATTGGGCTATTGTTTATATACAATTTTTTGTATATCATGAGGCCTGCTATCACTTCTATAAATATTTCCCTCTACTTACAGGACACCCTGTACAGCAATTTCTGCTTAAAGAGGGCCAATTAATATTTAAATCTATTATGAAATAAGTTTATAAATTAAAGTTATATATGAGAAGGAGTTGATCGGGGGGGTGCGGTCAAATAAATACTAAATTTTAAAAAATAGTATTTTTAATTATTACGCCGACGTTTTGACCCACCTTGCAGGTCTTCATCAGAGCGTGGCATGTGACACTGTAGGAGGCAGTTGATAGACTGAATGAGTCTATAAAATTATATATGGTTATTACCATATGTTTTACCCTCAAACACTACTCGATATACATTTTAGCAGAATACACTTCTTCACATCTCTCATGAAAATAAAATAGTTTTAAACAATTGGAGTGTTACAATTTAGTGCACCAAAATTTTCTGGTCAACCAAGCTTGAAATAAATTTTAAAAGTTTCCATTTAGTTTTTATGAAATTCCATTTTGCTTGTATAGAAAAACTTAGTTAAATAACATAAAAGTTAAAAAATTTCCTTATTTTGCCACTTTCTAGTACCTTCTATTACAAAGGTGTTGTTTAGTCTGAAGTTCTTAATTTTCTGATACTTTATACATATATACTACAATACTTATTTCAAAAAAATTGTTTTCTACTTAGAAGACGTTTTTCTTCTTTAGTTAATTACCATTTTTTTCATATTTTATATTTATCCATTTTTTTAACATACATATATTTTTATACATAAAAAGATTTTAAGAATTTACAGGAGAAATATCTGGAAAAATGCAGGAAAAAGTGAAGGAATTTAGTACAATAAACAATCAAGGTTCAATTAACTAGCTTAATAAATTAATATTAAGTTTTTAAAAATATTTATAATCTTTAGAAAGATTATATTATTTAAGAGTTAGTAAAGATAAGAAAGTCACTTTCACAAAGAAAAAAAATAAAATGAAAAAATTAATATGTAGTAAGAATTTGTCCCTTGAAATGAAGGAACGGATTACCATATGGATGTAACAGTGGTGAATGTGGTTCTGATGGTAAGAAAATATTTCTCGAAACATCAAACAAATGTAAAGGGATATGATAAATAAAAATATACACCAGCGGTAAGCAAGTTATAATCATCAGTTTTACCTGCAAAACAAAAAAACTTGCCAACAAAAGAAAAAACAAGCAAAAATATGGAAAATGGCAATAACACAACCAAATGAATAAATGATTCAAACACATCAGGGGAAAAATGGATATGTTATTAAACCTAGAAAAATATGAAAGTGAGTTGATCTGTAAATTGACTAACAATTGGTCTTATAACAGATCTAAAATTTACTACTTAAAACTAAATATTTAAAGAGGAAGGAAATACTTATGAGAACAATACAGTAGGAATGATGACCTATAGCAGATGACCTAGTAGTTCCTGGAAGAAGGGAATGAGCAATATGGGAAATTCTCACTGAATGTAAAGAGGTTGGCAAGATAAATTAATCAAAAACAAAATACAAGGTGGTATCTGCATCTTAAACAAGAACGTTGGCTGATTTTCATTTTAAAGATTTTTTGTTTGAAGAAGTTGAACTCTTTACTTACCTTGGATTAAATACTAATTGCGAAAACAAGGTGAGTGAAAGATCAGGAAACGGATCATTACAGGAAATAGAGCGTATTATGCTCTTGCAAATCTGTTCAAATTGACACTTCTGTCTAAAGTACCAAAATGAAGCTTTACAAATTGCTGCTTTACAAATAGGCCTGTTGTTTGCTATGGCACATAAACATGGATACTGAAAGTTACAGACCGACACATGCTAAATATATTTGAAAGGAAGATTATAAAATTCATTTTTGGTTTATTTTGCGTCCAGGATGTGTGGCACATTAGAACTGGAAGATTTAATAAGACATAAGAACACATTATGCTTCATAAAATCATGAAGAATTAGCTGGCTCCGACATTTGCAGAGAATAGAAGATGATAAGATGACAAAGAAAATAATGAGAACTTTTCCAGGAAAAAAAAAGCTCTATGAGATGATGGCTGGATGACATAGAGGAGAATCTGGCAAGGATTGGAATAACTGGATGGAAACAGATATAACTGAATCGGGATACATGGAATCAAATTGTAGGGAAGGACAAAGTCCACCTTGGACTATAGTGCTGGAGAAGTACCTAAGTAATATGGTAGGAATACAATGGAACACTGATATTGGAGATGTCTGAAATGTCCTTTAAAAAGATATAATAATGGAGGTAATTTTTCATTACATATATTTTCATCATTTTCTAAATAAATTTTATATTCTAAATCTCCGCCATTTATATCATAATTTTTTTTTTTTTTTATTGAGATTTACAGCTGTGTTACATGGAAAATACAATAAGTAAATGTGACATTGGTAACATGACATGTACAGCATGAAGAGAAACTACCACCCATTGGTAGAACTCAAATTAAAGTTCTATATTAGAAGGTCCCGAGGCTTCGGGCTGAAGCCCCCCCCAAAATGGTAAAATGCAACCATGTTTTATGGTAAAAAATATAAAAAAATTATGTCTTAAAGTATTATTGCTCGTTTAATTACATTTAGTAGGGCTTCAAGAATCACTTAAACACCATTTCATATAGGTAGTTAGTATCTTTCTGTTTTTCCAACGTAATTATCGTTATATATATGAAAAAAAAAGCTTCCGGGCTGAAGCCCCCCCCAAAATTAAATCCTGGATCCGCTAGTGATTGTAAGGATTGGATACGAGAGGAATTCGATGGTTTAGTGGAGCCCCAAAGCTCAATTCCGTAAGTCCAAATAGGTCTTATTTTTGTCATATATATGAGTCATTTGTAATTGATTGTGAGCTTAGAGCGTTTGTATCTAAGTGCTGCAGTAGTCGAAAACGTGGGGCGGTTTCAAGTCGTTTCAGTCTGGTATGGGGGTTCCAAGTGAGTCGTTTGTCAAGGTGGAGTCCTAAGTATCCGATTTGTTGATTTGTTCGACAGGGATAAGAGGGCTATTGTTGAAGGATACTGTAGGACAGGAAGTCATAGGTTTACGGCGAAGAGTGAAGGTAATTTGATGGGATTTATTGGAATTTATTTTAATCCTCCAGTTCTGACACCATTTTTCAAGTCTTGTGATGTGTGATTGAAGTGTTTGGGATGCAATAGATGGATCGTTATTAACTGATAGGATACACGTGTCATCGGCATAGGTGGTGATGATAGTGTTGGATAATATCTTAAAATGAAAAAAAAAGAAGTAAGATTCGAGATTTCTGCAACACTACTAACAGAGGCATCAACTGGAGCAGACTGGAGAGTCCTTTCAGTTGAGTAAGATGTCTATGTCAGCATAAAAGGGTGAGTTTATTTTACACAATTCATATAACCTACCACTTCATCAGAAGTCCATTGCCAAAATAAGTGGAATGTTGCCTATGTTGAACTCATTAGAGTTATTTGCCTTTACTTTAATTAAATTTGGAAAGTCGTCTAAACATTTTGGTCATCCGGGCCGAATTATATAGTTTTTTTTTTTGTTGCCATATTAGCGATGTTTTGCCTTACGTAAAGGAGGAAAATTGCCTGGTAGGTTATGAGAGTTTTTGTAAAAATCATGTATTTCCAGTCTGATATAAGTATTTCGCCTATTAATTCGTTTTTAAAAAATATATTTTGTCGTTTCTTGCTTTGTTGCGTATATGGGGTGCCAGAGT